GAGAATGCATAAATTGGCAGACACGGTTAACAGCATATGCAATGTCCGGGCGGGTGATGGTAGCATATTGAAGGGAACCCACAATTTGTCGGAATAACATTGGATCATTGAATGGTTCACCTTCAGGGGATAGACGAGAACTTGGATCGGCCGGTGTGGATAAGGAAGAAGCTTCTTTCATTTTACTTCGTTGGAGAATATCAAGGATGTACTGTTTTTGTGATAGATCAAGACCAATAGCTGAGGAGGTGATTTGTAAGCCCAAGAAATGATGTAGTGGCCCAAGATCTTTGAGAGCAAAAACTGTATTAAGTTGGTGGATGAAGCGTTGTATTTTTATTCCATCAGTTCCGGTGATGATTACATCATCGACATAAACGAGAATGTAAATGGTTGTGGTGGAGCTGATGTGAACAAAAAGCGATGTATATGATTGGCAAGCTTTAAACCCGTGATTAACAAGGTAGGTTTTGAGTTTGTTGAACCAGGCTCTTGGAGCCTGTTTGAGGCCATAGAGGGCTTTATTGAGCCGACACACATGATGTGGTCTAGTTGGGTCTTCAAAGCCACGTGGCTGTTTCATGTACACTACTTCATGTAGATCCCCATTCAGGAAGGCGTTGTTTATGTCAAGTTGCCGATGGTCCAGCCTTGAGAGACAGCTATGGACAGGACAAGTCTAATGGTTGTTGGTTTAATGACCGGGCTGAAAGTCTCAAAATAATCAACATTGGCTTCTTGAGTGTAACCTTGAGCCACCAAGTGGGCTTTGTATCGTTCAATTTTGCCATCAGATCGCCGTTTAATCCTGAAAATCCACTTACAACCAATAACATTGACATTAGTAGGACAAGAAACAATAGACCATGTGTTATTCCTCATGAGAGCATCATATTCATGTTGCATAGCTTGCTGCCAGCAAGGAAATTTAATGGCTTGGGAGAACAAACGAGGTTCATAATAAGAAGTATCGGAAAGGGTTGTGAGAAAGACTTTGGGTTTGAGAGAGTTGGTACGAGCTCTAGTGATCATTGGGTGTGTATTGGTGGGTGCAGGGCGATAGTGAGAAGTAGAAGGCTGTTTTGAGACTAGAGGAGGGTGGGTTGGAAGAGGTGTGTGGGGGGGAGGTAGTGAGGGGATGGTGGAGGTTGTGGAAGGTGAAGTAGTAGATGATGGTGGAGAAGAAGGGGAGATGGAGGCTGCATGTGTAAGTAAATCAGAGGCGGATGGAGGAGAAGTAGAAGAAGAGTGTGAAGTGGTAGGGAAGACAGAAGGTATATAAGGAAAAACACTTTCATTAAAGACAACATGACGAGAAACATATAGCCGAGAGGAGGATTGATGATAACATAGGTAGCCCTTGTGAGTAGTGCTATACCCGAGGAAAATAGAGGGGAGAGAGCGGAAGTCAAGTTTGTGAGAGTTATAAGGACGTAAGAAGGGATAACACAAGCAGCCAAAAGTTTTAAGGAAGGTATAGCCAGGAGATTTATGGTATAGAAGTTGATAAGGTGAATGAAAGTGGAGAAGAGGGGTAATTGTACGATTGTGTAGGTAGGTAGCGGTTTTAAACGCATGTTCCCAGAATAACTGAGGGAGGGATGATTGAGCTAATAAGGTAAGGCCTTTTTCAACAATGGTATGATTACATCTTTCGAGAGCCCCATTTTGTTCTTGGGTATGGGGGCATGAGACTCTATGGGCAATGCCATGCGTTTGAAGAAAGGTGGAGACATTGCGATATTCTCCACCCCAATCAGTTTGGAGGGCTTTAATGTCATGTTGAAATTGGGTTTTGACCATATGTTTAAACTGGACAAATTTGGAGAAGACCTGTGATTTGGTAGCTAAAAAATAAATCCAAACAAATTTGGTACAATCATCAATAAAAAGCAAAAAATAGCAATTTCCATTAAGGGAAAGTAACGGGGCGGGACCCGAAACATCCGAATACACTAAATCAAAAGGAGCAGATGAATTTATGTGAGAGACAGGAAGATGTAAACGACGACTTTTGCCCAGTTGACAGGATTCGCACACAACTGGAAATGTGTTGGAAGAGACCGGAAGCTGAAAAGATGAGATAAGTTTGCGCAGGAGAGGCTCGTGTGGATGAGCAAATCTTTAGTGCCAACCATGAACAGAAGTGTGAACACCGGAGAGAGCCATGATAGAAGAGTGCGTATTGGTGGTGTTTGGGACCCGATATAATCCATGATTAACGTCCCCCTGCAGAAGGATTTTTCCCTGCATATTCTTAACAGTGCAATGGTTAGGCCAGAATTCCATATACACATCATTGTCTCTTGTTAACTGAGACACGCTAAGAAGATTTTTGGTTAAGTTTGGAACTACAAAAACAGATGGCAAGCGAAGATTATGTAAAGAACTGATGCCAACATGAGAAATGAACAGATGATTACAATTTCCGACCTTGATTTTGTCGGTACCAGTATAGTCCTCTGTAATCTGAAGTTTTTGCATGTCAGGGGTGACATGATCAGTTGCTCCGGTGTCAAAGTACCAAGCTGGGTCCATTACAGTTGAAGAAGTGGCAGCCTGAGCTGTATGGACCTGGCGGGAAGAATCACAGGGATTGATGCGTCGGGAGGGGTAGTCTGTCTGGTTGTTGCGTTGCCAACAGTCGATGGCCTCATGACCAGGACGGCTACACAGTTGGCACATGGGGCGTCTCCGGCGAGAGTCATTGGTGCGAGTGGAGGAGTGACCATTGGAGGTGGTGGTCGTTGGCGATGATCTGACAGGGTGATTGGAGTGGGAGTATGACCTGGGTGAGGAACGATTGGTGGTAAGCACAGATGAGTGCGAGCTAGGAGTGACAGTGGAAGGAAGCACTTGGGCATGACGATTGTTGTCTTAGTCAATTCGAGCTTCTTCTTGGAGAAGAAAGCCGACCAGGTCATCAACGGAGACATGATCTGATTTCATCATGAAGGCAGTAGCAAATGAAGCATACAAGGAATCCAAGCCGGTGAGAAGATACCCAATTAAGTCTTCATCGGGAACGGAATAATCAATTTCAGCAAGAGAGTCTGCAATAGACCGCTTACGATCAATGTAGTCGATCATCGAGAGGGATCCCTTGGAGATGGTTTGGAGTTGGAGTTTCATCGCCATGCGGCGGGCTCTTGTCTGGGACTGGAACGACTTTGCAAGAATGGTCCAGGCTTCAAAAGAAGTGGGGGCCCGAACAATCAAAGAAAGAGCCTGTTCAGAGAGTGTGGTTTTAATCCAGAGTATAACGAATCGGTCTTGTTTCTTCCAGCGAGCATAATCGGGATTGGGTTTTGGGGTAGGAGCGGCGTCATCTTCAGAGTCGCTCGACACATATGTGGCAGGAGGGGAATCGGATTTGAGGATGAAGGATTCCAAATCGAATGTCTTGAGGGAAGAGACGACGGTGGAGCGCCACAAGCAGTAGTTGTCGCGATCAAGCTTAACAGTGATGGGAGGAAGTTGAAAAGTGATGGCACCTGATGTGGAAGTAGCATGTGCCAAGAGAGAAGTACCGGAAAAAGCCATGGTAGAGCAGGTAGAGGGAAGAATCGAAAAGGGAGAAAAAAATTAATGTGGCTCTGATACCATGTAAGTAAACACAGTAATGTTGAATTGATTATATTGCTCTGTGTCTTTATACGAGAGTTATACATCAGTATTTATATACAATAATGAATTGAATGCATCCTAAATATGCGCCACTACACAACGGTACACAGAAGACTAGGACTAGAGTTGAACTGTTCAAGCTTGTGTGATTCACGTGTGGTTATTAATAATGAAGTAGTAATTAAGAAATCTTGAAACGATACCAAAACCCCAAGATCAACAATGCATGGTAAATTGGTAATGAACTTTGGAGATAACAACACCCATTAGCAATGTACTTTTGAAAACGACATCAAACCCCTTAAACTTTTAATTCGAACAGATTTGTAAGCCAAAAAGTAGGATGAATTTAGAAAATTTTAAAGGTCTTTGATCACATTGTGCTCCATGATCCAGGTTGGAAATAATTTATTAGTTTATTTATGATAATATGATTCATGATTTTAAAGGTTTATTGAGGAAAGACAAGTGGTCTTGCATTCTGCTTCCATAGGTATTTAGATCTTCTGCAATCACTATCTTTATTATTTCTTTCTTTCTAGGGATGGAAATTTCACCCGACCCGGTGGGGAACCGTGTTGACCCGCCCCAATCAGGGATGGGTATTCCCGGCCAAAACGGGTACTGGGTACGGGGCTAGGGATCCCCATTATGCTAAAACCGGGGATGGGGTTGGAGTCGGGTATAACAATCTCCAACCCGCCCCACCCCCGCATTGATGAATATATATGATCCACACACACACACACACACACACACACACACACACATATATATATATATATATATATATATATATATATATATATATGATGATGACTATTAGTGGACTTAATTCAAATTCAATAAATAATCGATACACACACACACACACACATATATATATATATATATATATATATATATGTGTGTGTGTGTGTGTGTGGATCATTTATTGAATTTGAAATAAGTCCACTAAAATGAATTGATCTATATTAGACCATCAGAGATAGAGTATGTATATCAAATTATGTTCTCAATTTTAAGAGTTCGTTAATCGTCACTTTGTTCGGTAATCTGTATTCCAAATCGTCACTTCTCGTTTTGATGCTTTTTAAACTTTATGATTGATGTAAGTAGAATCTCATTATGGTATCTGGTTTTGATCACTTACTAAACTTGGTTTTTTGTGTAAGTTGAGTTTATTATGTTTATATAGAGGTGATGGGTTGGGGAAAAACCCAAAATACAAAGGGGAGGAGATTTGATTTCCCGCATCTGTTGGGGATGAGGATGGGGATGGAGATAAGGTTAGACACTCGGAAATGGGTAGTGATTGTCAACCTCACCCCATTTCCATCCCTAGTTCTTTCTACATTAAACACATATAGCTTGCCGAATTTAGTCATGTTCTCACCATTAAATTTAGACAAAAAAAATCTTCTAAACAACATTATATTATTATCCAAAAAATTCTAGCACAAACACCATGACTCCACCCATGATCATCACCCATGGTGACTGAATACACATGGTAGCAGCCTGACTCTTGTCTCCCTTCTTTGAAGTAGATGTATCGATTTCCTCACAACTAAGACCTTTCTTGTCTCCTTTACACATGCTAGCAAAAAGCCCAGGGGGGTATTTCCCGTATACATTTATGTAACTAAACAAAGTTGATGCACAATTTGTCTTTTCATCGTTAATTTGTTCCCAATGAGGGCATGCGATTTGCAAAAAGGAGTTACAACATGGCTCACGTTGGTATACTGGTCCTTTGCATTGGCTTGTGATGATCGTGTAGTTTTCATTCTCAAAGTTCACAGGACACGCTGTAAAAAATAGATTCTTGACTAGGTTAAAAGGAAGAAATCGCAACTTGCTTTTATTTATTTGTTCATTATTGCATGATTGCATGCATCATACTTTTATTTTTCGCATTACAACTTTGTGATTTGGAAAAATCTAATCGGTTGTAACAATGTCATTGAAATATGTAATATGTGAATGATTTTTGTTTATCCGGGCATCATGAAAATGTTATAGAATAAATGAATGAACCTAATGTTCTTATTATGTGTTTTAAATTGGGACAAATAGAGGAAAGAACTTACATTGTTTCTGTTGAAGAAGATTACGCCCAGTCACCTTATAATATTGATGCGTATTATCTATAAAGATTCAAGATCATCAAAAACCCAAATCGATTGTGTGATTAATATCCGAAAAAACAAGAAATTATTCAAGAAAAATATGATTATATGAAGTATTTTACATGAAAATGGGGAAGAAGCGATCAAGAAAGCAGGAGACAAGAGGAAGAAGACAAGGCAATGCAGAAACCGAAACGAGGCCATGAATTGTTGTATTCTTGTAAATTGTATCGATCGATATTCCTGGATTTGTTCAATAATTCCTTTTTATCTCCATGATAACTCATCATTTTTATTGTTATTTTAATAGTTTTTTTTTTTTTTTGGAAGAATGGGGTGGGTGAAAAAAGGGTTAAAACGTTTTCTAGTAAAATACTTTGCACCCCTTAATCTATGTCACTAATTCCACTTTGACCCTTCATGTAGCAAATACGTTTATATATATATATATATATATATATATATATATATATATATATATATATATATATATATATTGAAAGTGTGTTTTTGAGATTTATCTTAGACATATAGGTCTCATATCACACTTATCATACTATTCCAATGTTACATAATCATTATATCATTTTTCCACTCAACCCACAAAATTGATGGGTGTCATACCACACATTACCATTTTTTTATTTTTTTTATTTTTTTAAATTAAATGTAATTTCATAAAAATGAAATTTTATAAAAGAAAATTTTTCATAAATGGTCCATGTGGTTTTTTCAGATCTGAAGATTAATCCATGTGGTTTAAAAACATCATAGATGGTCCATGTGCTTCCAAAAGTTTTGACGATCGGTCCTTATTGCTAACTCCGTTAAATTATGTCCGTTAAGAATGACATTTTCGTCATTTCACTACCATAAGGACCATTTATGATGTTTTATTTTATTTAAAAAAAACGAAATAATATGCAAAGGGGGTCCCAACTCTCTCTCTCTCTCTCTCTAAACCCCTCTGTTCCTCTCGTTCTTATATCACCAGCCACCACCATCGTGTTTCTCACTCTTTGCTGCTGATCGGAGCTAGCCAAACACCCTCACATGTGCTCTGATGTTACTGCTTGCGTGGCTCCATTGGACCAGCTCACTTCGACCACCCATCACTGTTCACCACCCCTCCCTATGATTTCACGTCGGCAAAAAACAAACGAGCAAGGCAGTGGAACTTCCATTGCATGCTGCCACCATGAGGACTCCGATCACCACCACCTACTGTCTCTTT